ATGCTGGAAAGATGGGAGTTAGAAGGGATCACCTGGCTCCTCTCCCTCTGCATGCCCAAACTCTGAACTTTCTCCTGCCTCCCAAACCCACTGCTCCCCTTAAGCTCCTCCTTGTGTCAGACTGCGTGGATTAGCCTCACCTATGTGGGATCAGATTAATCTCTAGCATAAATCTGAGTTTTGTCATCTCACCCCAGACCATGGGGTCAAGCTATTTTTAGTGTCGGTACTGAAAGATTTGGTTTGTATCTAGAAGAAAAATCCAGGTTGCAAAAGTAAGTCACGAAGAGACCTGCAGGTTGGTTTCCATCAAACGAGTAACTCTGTCTCACAGAGAGGTGTGAGTTGTTCAGCAGTCACGTTTGGTATACACCTTGACACATTAATTGGAGAACAAGACCACAATGTTACTCTGACACCAAGTGGGTCGGGGTTTCTGGACAGATGAACCTAGTGTACAGGGCTTTGCTTTTTGGTTTGTGGAGGTTTTGGGGTCCTTCTTTTTTTGGTAACTTATTTTCAAATAAGCAAAAATGCTCTGGTTTGCAAGGTCCAGGTCACACTGTAAGTACATGAACAGTGATAGCATTTGCCAGTTTTATTTTTGGAGACAGAGTTGCCAGGGCTGGGAGTGAACTGTATGGGCCTGGCCTCTTCCCTTCCCTAGTAAAACTTCTGACAGTAGCTTGTCTATGAAGTCTGTTTGTCCAAGGAGCTTGGATCCCAAATCACACTCTTCTCTCCCCTCTGTATTTATCCAATCAGGTCCCTGCAGGGCTCTTTCCCACTAGGTTCTTCATCCAGGTACCCCCCTGACATTGCATTCAGGGGTTGTTGCAGTGACATCAAATGAGAACTTTTGCAGAGTGGTGTTTCCATAGATAAGATTTTAGCACTACACATCTAATACAAGCTTCTAATTACTTCTGAAGAGCGATACAAAAGGGATTTACCACTTAAGGCCTTTCCGTGATACTTCACAGCTGTTCACCAGACCCATCAGAGTGGAAGGGTTTAAGAAACAAAACAAAAACATCAAAAACCTGCTCAGATATGTCAAAGTCCCCTCTTTGACAGCCATCAAGAGGATCTAGAGCTGAGGAATGTTACAGCCATTCCCATGGGGACAGTGGGTGTGGTGATGCTGTTACCTGTTTCGGGTCCATACAAACCTGATGAGGCAGCACTAATGGGGCAAAGCAACACCTTCACAGTGATTACAATTAGTACAGGCTTCAGAACCAATACCCTGTTTCATCTGAGATTTGCAAAATAGCAGAAAGGGCCAGCAAAGTAATACTACAGCAGTAAACTGAAAAGCCAACTCGCTGTGGTCACCTCTTCCAGACTGACTTAGAACTGGTGGGATAATTCGGATGGTGGGAAGCAAAGGAAAGCCATTGGGAAGGAAACTTCTCCAGAACTAGATTTCTGAAGACACAGAGCTGTCTTTCAAAAGAAGAGGGAAGAGATTATTCCTGTACAAAGCACAGAACCTTACATCTACTCCCCAGCAGTGAGATGACAATAAAAGGGCTGCTCCAGTTCATAATGCCTCTGGAAACAAAGGTAAGTTTGGGAAGAACAAGAAGGAATATTTATCAAGTAGCACTGGGATAGGCTTGCATTTGAGCAGATGATGATGTGATATGTCTGTGCAAAACATCCTAATAATGATAGGCCAAATATATGCATGTTTTGAGCTTAAAGTTCGTCACCTTTGTGAAATGTTGCTAAAACAGTGCTTTGTCACTTCAACGTTTTTCTCAACCAGACTGAGATGAGGTCTTGTCCTAGCAACAAGAAAGTGCCATGGCAAACTCCACAACAGAGATGGATGGAAGACTTCATATCCCAGCTAAGCCTAGGGGATTTTTCTCGGGTCAGTCTTAGTAATTATTTGGCTGAATTTCACATTGATTACTGGACCATGGCAGAGCTTCAGAGTCTCCATTTACCTCTTCTAAGCTCCTCACACAGGCTGGACTGCTACGTTTTTCCCAGTTTTCTCTCGCCTTCAGTGCCGCTTGGTTTTGACTCTCATGTATATGGAGTATGGAGCTTGTGCTGACAAAGCCCTGCCACCTTCACAGTGGAAGGATGTTCAACATGCTCTCATTTCTAGTTTGGAAAAGTGCATGTGAACAAGAACCAAGTCACTGATAATGCAGAGCATGGACTTAACCAGCAAGAGTGCAAACTCCACTTTACAGTTTCATAGCTCCCTTACCTGCTCTGTGCCTCAGTCTCTGATCAGGGAAGGGAAAGGAGCTAATGAAATCTCATGAGTGCTGAGGTTGATATAGCACTTTGCAATCCTTGTGCTGAAAGTGGCACTGATGTACAGTATTATCAGTGCAACAGAATTCCCCACTCATCACTAAAATCAGCTCCAGGACTAGGGCACTAAGACACGTAAGACCGAAATACTGGAGGCTTCTTTCACTACTCACCAGCTCAAGGCAGACTGCTAAAGAAGGAAAAAACACTCTTCAGCCAAAGTGTAGCTGGAGGTAAAGAAGTGAAACACTGTTTTGAATTGCCGTCCTTAATGTCATCTGGAAACTGACTAAATTCATTTTTCTCTAGGAATTGTCTGAGGAAAATAAAGTTGTACCCATTAGCAACAGTGAGATTTCTACAAATTGGGACTCTCTGACTACCTTGTAAATGTAGAAGGGTTGGGGTTAGAGAATAGAAGTGGAAAATGGAGATGAGATTACTGTAAATTGCGCGCTAGTGTCAAGTGCACAAATGGGCTGAAGTAGGAAGTGGCAGAGTTTCTGCAAGCCCTTGAAGCATTTTTCAACTGAGACAACAGCCGTGTAAACCATTTCACAGTGGCTTCTAAGCTCTAGCGAGTATTATATTACACACCAGGAGAAGAAATGTTTTCCAAGAATGGATTGGGGCACAACAGACACTTCTTGAAAGGAATACCGAGCATAGAAGGAGGTCAGTATGTCTTACTCATGGTCTTGGTTCTATGAGAGAAAGTTTGTGTGCCACAAGTAATTTTCAGTTTTCAGAAGTACGTGTGACTGAAAATTCAGGTCAACAGGAGAGAAGCGAGCCTTGCTGCTCCCCGGTCTACTTCAGTTTCAACCTATTTCTTCCTCCCCCCCCCCCTTTAGAGATATTCCTCTTTGACCTGGTTGGCATTTCCATTGCGTTTTAGCTGCTGCTGAGCTTTAAGATCTCTTGCCCAGATTATCTCAAATCTATACAGAAAACATCCCCCAAACAACCCAAACTTGCTATCATTTCACAAGCCATTGCACAACTAACACATGTGCGTGCACACTATAACTAGCATCCTTGCACTACTTTGAGACTAACCCCTCATTTTTTTCCCCTATAACTAGGGAGAAGCTTTAATGTTACAAGCAGGTGGGGAAACAAATCTGAGCAAGCCAGTTTGCACTAAAGGAAATAGTACAGAAGCTGAGCTGCAGCTAAAAAGCTTTTGCCTTTTAAAAGTGATTCAGTTTCTTCCTTAACTACTTTGCCTTGTTTGTAGTAACACAGAGTAAGTGCAAGATGCTTTTTCAACAAGGAGAAATCATAACTTTCCCCAACCCTATCCACTCTCAGCCAATAAATGGAGAAGATGAGGTGGGAATAGTCATCTGTAGATATAGACTATACTTTGGTGGCTTTTCCTGTTGGCTTTGAGAGCCAAAATTCAGGCAGTTTGCACATATAAATATATATAAATATTTTTGCTTACTTATGGAATGTCAGTGCATATTTAGAGCACCAGTTCAAAATGATGAGGGATGGTTAAGGCTAAGAAAATTAAATTCATTGCAAAGCCATAGTTTTGTCTTCTTTTTTCTCCTTTACAAAGGAGACTAAAGCATCTTCCCTGTAATAGTCAGCCACTGTGTAATCCCCCGTCAACACCAATTCTAGGGAAAACTACTCAGGACCCAGTCCCTGAGGCAAAAAACTAGGAATTCATGGTTTTAGCTCAAGTAATGCACATAAGTAACAGCATACATTAGTGGGAAATTAAACATTCCAAGGACTTGGACCAATTGCCACCTGAAAAAGAAAAGGCATTTTCTGTATGGGATGGTTGAGATCCAAGCCTTTAAGCATATATAGCAATGTAGCTATTGGCCAAGGGCTGCAGATCTCTCTCGCGAAGCTATGACAGCTGGAACATGCTATGCTGACTCCTCACAAGTGGCACGTGGCTCCAAGGAGGTCCTGCAAACCTTGACGTATCTGCTGGGGGAATGTGCACCTTGCAAATGCTCTGGCATTGTGGGTAACTGCAAGGAAGCATTTGCATTGTTCATTCAAGCTATCTTATTAGCAAAGCTCAAGCCAGACCTTTCCTTACTGCCCCAGTTTTGACTACCATATACATCTATAGAACATAATGAACGTGCAGCTAATCTTCCTGTTTCAATATAGCCTGGTATTGCCTGAAGCAGGGTGCAGTAAGAACACTATTTGCCTTTAGGTACCTCTGTGGAATTCCCTAGAAAAAGGAAACTGAAGGCTTATGTTGCTGAACATTGCTTTTCATTCCTCACGCTAGCTCCTCTCTCCCTTTGAATACTTGACAAGAACCAGCTACCACACTCACTCAGTCTGAAGAGGGGTGGTCTTAGTTCTCTGCAAGGCCAAGAAATCTTGAACTCATCCTTGGGCTCCTATGCAGCTTGACATTGCCAAGGACTAGAGTGGTACAAACCCTCTCCTTCCTTTTGAGGCTTGGAGGCCTCAGTGCACAAGGCTTTGTCCTTTCTTCCATGTTTCCTTGTTGGAGACCCTGCAGACTGAGAAGTAGAATGGCATATTTAGGAAACCCACTTCCGTACATCATGAAGCTGGCAGGCACAGCAGGACATGTGAGACAGTCTCCAGGCTGCATTGCAAGCAGAACCACCAGTTTGTTGTCCCCTTGATCTCCCTGCACCCAGGTGAGATCTGCCTCTAAACCTACTCCAAACAAATAAGACTTTGGTGGAAAGATGTCAGTGTTTTTACCCTGTAAGTTAATGCAATTCTTTTTTGTGTCCATTACTGATAACCTTTGGAATACAGGGCTTTTTGCTGATTGAGTTGTGGACTGAAATCAATAACATGTGGAGGGTGGCAGGGTAGTATTTCACCTCAGTATTAACTCTCCCCAGTTTCAGTCATATGTCTCTCAGCATTATTTTTCAAGGCTTCAGCAGCCTTCAGATTCCACAAGCACCAAAATGCGGTGTTTCAGCCCTGGGCACCAGCTTACGACTATGCTTGTCCTCTACAGTGTTACTCAGAAAAGGAGAACTGTTTGGGCTTGCTCTGTTTTGGGAAGGTTTAAGGTCTGGTTGCGATTGGACTACTTCCTTTTTGTAAAACACAATGCCATGTTATTTTGCTAAACATGTAATTTGCTTAATCACAACTACTGTGACAAGCCCTGAATTCTAGTAAGAATTCCTACAGTCCACCCCACTGTGATAATGGGAAACACACTGCTATTAGTGACTTATTTTTTCCTGCCAACTCTGTGCCAAATGAAGTCCTAAAATGGACCAAAAAGAGTCTTGACAGTTACACAAGGAAAAGAAAGAAATTGCTGTTCCTAAAAACTTAACAGTCCATTACATTAGATTTTTAAGCAACATTTAAGACAGAGTTGAAATCAAGATATACTCTGATTTCTCACCTGTACACAGACTGTGGCAGTTAAGATGTGAGGCAGTATTACTGGTTTACTCACTGTTTAATACTTACACAAACAAACAGTGAGTAATACTGTATAAAATGTCTCATCCTGGTTAAAAAAGAAAATCAATGAAATGTATTTCCATTTTAGTTTCATTAAGATATTTGGTTTCTTCTAATTTTGCTGCGTTCTAACTGGGATCAAATTGCCATACATTACATTAATTAGAAAAAAACATTAAAAAAAACATAAAAGGAAAGAAAAAGTCTTAACTGGTCCTCACTTCCTGGCTGCCTGCCTGTGAAGGTTGTGTTTGTCAATATGCTTGCTTCTGTCTTCATGTATCTGAACTGCTTCATTTAGCACACTGGGAGGACAGCAGCATGCCTTACAGGATGGCAGACACTACCCACCCCAGCCCATGGTGCAGACTTACATTACTTGTCCCAGAATTTAATAACTCCAAGCAAGGTACAGAGTCTTCCGTAACGCCCTCCTAGGACTGCTGAGCTACATGAGGTTATGACAAGCTCTTAGCCCAAGAGGAACTTTACAAGATGACTCTGTTCAACACATAGTATTGAGATGACAGCTCATACAAGTCTGTTTCTGGCGTACAGGTTACCACAGGGCATTCACATATGCAATTTTGTGTCAGCTTTTCAGTGGCACTTTCTGCAGGACATGTTTACATCCGGCTCCTACTAGAACAGTTTCCACCTCTATAGTGGCATCACTTGGCATTTTTGGACGACAGCACTGGTGGTGTCACAAGTTCCTTGCTTTGTCATTCCAGGTGCAGTACCTTCTTCTGCTTACCCTCCAGTCCCTGTCTATGCCACCAAAAGCAATGCATCAATGGGAGGGTGAGGTGTCGTCCAAGCCCAGAAGCTCCTTTACAAGTCTTTCCCCAAACTGTGCGCGGCTATACCTCGTCACATGGTAGGCCTCTGACATTTTGTAGAGGATGTAGGCATTGTTTATAGCGATGCTGATGGCAAACCAGAATACTTGCTGCCAGGTCTTGTTTGGTTTGTGAGAAATGAAATACCTAAAAAGCCAAGAGAGAAGGGGAGGGAAAAGCACTGTTCAGCCAAACACTTGCAGCTGGGATGAAAGAAATCACCACAGGCAGAGATTCTGCAGTCCCAAAGGGGAAGCAGGCCCAGGACTTAATACCTAATGCAAGTATCATCTTAAGAGTTTTTGTACAATGTATTTGACAGCCATTTACAGTTAAGTTGTGCAATTTTAGGAATGTATAGTAGTGTCTAGAAGAAACTTCCTTGCTCTCAGAAGCAAAGCCTCAGCAACACTCTCCTCTACAGAATTCTATGTAAGAGCACCGATACAGACTCCTTGAGCTTATCCATGACAAACATCCACGTGATGGGAGCTGTGGGTCTGAATTCCTTCAATTTGTAACTAAAATAAATGCCTCAGGCACATTATGTTACAGTTTAGGGAAGACTGCTGATGCTTCTCCTCTTGTTTATCTCTGTTGCAAGCAAAGAATGATTTCTGCTGCTGTCAACAGCAGGTGGGAGGATGTGGGGGTAGAGCTAGAGCGTGCAGTGCTGGTATGTGGAGCAATAATCCATAAGGCAGAACTAGAAAGGATTGACATCCTTATATTTAGGTTGTGACTAAATCTAGGACCATTCTTTGGTTATAAAATTTTCAACTTTCCTACTTTCATCTTTTTAGTAACCATTTAAATCTACTACTTTACCTCTTTTTCATATTGATTTCCTCAGATAAAATCCCAGCATCAGTCTCCAGCAACCACCACCTCCTCTTTCATCTCTTCTACTGAATTCTTGCTGCCTTGCCCAGAACTGGCTTAGAAAAATCTCTGCTGCTTTTTCTCTCTTTTCAATTTTTAGTTCCTGAAACCTTCTGCACTTTTTCACTATTCCCACAGCCAAGCTTCACCACTGCTATTCTTGCTCATTTCTGTTTCTCCCTGCTACATTAAGAGCTAATATGAAGGACCACAACTGGAATTCAGAGGCTAAAAGACCAACATAATTCTGCTGTCCCAGGTCATCTAGATCAGCTTTACATCCATAACTAAACATCTTTTTCTGCTTGCTCTAGCTGGGACAGATAATCACTGAAACACCACCTGCTGATAGGGGAGGAGAGCTGAGCTAGCCTGAGAGAGTTGTAAAGCTGGTAGACCCTTGCTGAAATCTCTGTTTAAGCCTTTAATTTGATGTGGCCAAGAACATCAGTCTGCAGGCTAATCTTCCCAATGCTTCTTAAAAGTCAAGATGAACATAAGTCTCAAGTTTTGTTGACAGGTGGATATATAGATAGAGCCAGAAACAACACTAGCAATGCAGCTCTTGCTCGTGCAGACTCAGCTTCTGATCTTTGACTTGAAACAGGAATTTTGTTAGATATTAATACCCTGAAAGCAGGATTGGGCCCTCAGCTGCGTCTCAACATGGAGTACTCAAACAATTCAGCAACAGAGAAATATACACACCCACATATTCTTACTTACTTGCTGTATTTGTCATCGTATTTGCAGATATAGCTGAGGTGAGCAGCAAAGGCTTCAACTGCCAATGGGCATGGAATTTCTCCACTTTTTCTCTTAATTATAACTCCTGCATCAAATAGAAACATAACAGTTTGAAATCCATAGGTCTAGCAATTAAAACATACGGTTTCTATATACAGCCTATTATAAAATAAATCTTATTGACAGTTTCTGATCTAAAACTGGGAAGTTCTCTGTAACAGAGACACTAATTTGATGATTTTTTTTTCTTGGTAGTACACTGAGCAAGTGGAAGGGTAAGAAGAGGGGTCATTTGTCAGCTGGAAATGGAGAGGCATTAGACACAAACGCTTTTACCATAGGTTCAGAAAAAACCACACATGGCCGTGGACCCACAGCAGCCCCCTACAGGCAGTATTAGTCTTATCCTCTGTTAGTTCCCAATGTGTTGTAGTCATGTCTAGAGCTGTGAGTTGCCAATTTATGCTTTGAGTTCTGAAGGTCCCAAATGAAGGTCCTTTGAAATTAAATCCCTTATCTCCACCCATGGAAGGCAAGAGCAACACTGCCTTCATGCCACTGGGTGTTAACTGATAAAGAAAGGAAAATACACTAAGCAGGAGGCAACTGGCTCAACCCAGTCAAGACAGAGGTGATGCTGGTGGGTGAATTGAAGGAGCCACAACCACAGTATCTTTGAAATGAGAAGCAGCCTCATTTGCTGCTATAGGGAGCCAGAGTTCAGATGTACGGTTAGGTTGCTCAGTGGCACTAAGCATACATTTCTCCCCCTGTGAGTGATGCTTCCTGCCCTCCCTGGTCAGTTGGCTTGATATTTCAGCTCATCATGGGGGAAGACTACCTTGCTTACTGCAGAAATCTGTGGTAAGGCAACAAGTCCCCTGAACCTGCCTACCAATCCCTCTTTGCATAGGCAAAGATGTGATGCCTAGAGCAGGTTACTCCAAGAACGGGCCCCGTTCCCTCTGACCTGGCCTTCTCCAGTACTACAGCAGTATTTCTGAGTTCAACACTCTCCCAAGAACCCCCTAGCTCTTCTCTGATTTACTATTTCTGTCCTCCATGTTTTCCCTATCCAGGGAAAGCTCCTTGTAGGAGGGAAGGTTGAATAAAAACTTACAGTATGGGAGTCTATTACCTAACTTTTGACTTTATGTCCCTCCAGGGTTTGACGGTCAGCTCTCCAGGGTGTGGGACTGCCTCTTGCTCAGTGTCTATGGCACACTGTCTAGTGAGGATCCCTATTTGCTTCCAGGTACAACACTATTTTTCTTCAGGTCTAACGAAGCACAGACTTGGTTGCATCCTTCCTCAGCATTCTTTCAATATGGGTACAATCCTGGGCTTTCTCATTTCTCAAGTCTTCAAACTCTCATTGCCTTTCTTTTGCCAACTCATTTTACAATCATCCCTAAAATGCTCCTCACGTTTTGATTACAGACTTTACCATTTTATTCCTTCATCTGGAAGTCTCACTCCATCCATTATCTCTGTCAAGCCCCCTGTGCTGTCCTAGCTGGCAGGCTCTATTCTGAAGCAAGATGTATGACACATACTAAATGTCATGTTACAGCTGAGCCAAGCAGCAATTTATCTGCGGTCTTTAATAGTCTGATTTTACAAGAGGCCAAAATGATACCACCTCTAAATCGTTCAATATACTCTCACCTCTGCCTCCCCAAACTGGGTTTAAATGTACCGCAAGGGCTGGGAAAAAAAACAATCAAACAAATAAACACATCTTTCATTACATTCACATACTTATTACAGTGCTTTATTTTTTTTATCCTTTTAATGAGGAGTCCTACAAAAATCTGTCCAGCATGAGGTAAAATGGGCTGATATATCACCAGTCTGCATCAGTGTTGCAACATCACTTGCCATCCCACCTGGCTGGGCAGGTCAGGAAAGGGTGTGTATGTTCCTGGTGCCAGTGTTTTACAGAAAAATCCCTTCCTTTTTCCTCTTGCTTTCTTCTCTTTCCTCTCCCTCTCTACTTCTTGGAGGATTTATATTTCCTTTGCAATTTGCTTTGTATTCGCAACCCTTTAAAAAAAATGCAGCAGCAGCTAAGCTGGTACCATATACTCCCTCTCACTTTCTATTGTATTCCATGTAACATTCCCCTGTTTTGAGAATACAAACAGCTTTACAGGCACATTCTCTTTATAGCCTTCCCTATGCTTGTTTTGTAGGCATAGGCCACCTCTCCAGGGAAGACAAATGCCAGAGCTAGGTCATCCCTAGCTGCAGGTCTCTGTGGCAAGCAGTCCCAAGCCAGATGACTCACCAGCACATCCGATGAGCTATTTCCCCTCCCGGTTCTCCCCGAGCATCGCTGTGTTCCTATCCCTGGCAGCACTCCAGGGAACGCACCGCCTGCGCTGTCTTTGCCTGTGTGCTGGAAGGAGTGCTGGCTGCCATGCTGCCACCACGGACAGCCATCAGCTTTTGGGTTTGAAATGTAGTCTCACAAGGGATGTTATGGAAATTTCCAGTTAAAACCATAAGCTTCCCCATCCTAAACCATACTTTTTAACATTATGCTTATATCCTCAGACTTTCCACTTCCTAGCTAATCCCACAAGCTGATTTTTTCAGGAAACTAGATTGTCACTGGACACTCCTCACTCCAGCTTCTCCTGAGCTAATAACTGCACAAGGACTTACTTATATAACAGCTTCATGCAATTGTGATGTCTCCACATCTCCCATCTTCTCACAAGGCACTTTCATGCTTTGCTGAAAATTTTCAGCAATTTAGTCATTGCATGTGTGTCCCAAGCTTTGTTTTCTACCTTTAGCTATTGTCTACTTAGCTTTTAAGTAGAGCTGGTCGGTGAAGAGTGGGTATGAAAGCTCTTCTCAGAAAGAAGCTACTTAAAAATATCTTGGGTTCAACAAGTTTTTGCTAAAGATATCATCCTGTGCATTCTGTCATTCTTGTCACTCTGTGCAGCAAGTGAGGTTACTGCCTGCTCCATCCTGCTTCATCTGAGGAATAGAAAAGATTGTAGCTATTTCTAGAATATAGTAATGGAGATGCTGGGAAAGTGAACACCAGATCTGGAGTGGAAAAACAAAAATGCAGCCTTTTCCCACAGATGGGGACATTTGGGTCAGCACATACCTGACCTGCTTTAGAATAAGGGTAACTTTTTTACTCTTTGTGAGTCCCAATCCCAATCACTTCTGGTTTTTCAGTTCTTCTGTAATACAGACACAAGGGAAAATTAACTCAAGTTAAGGCTTAAGGGAAATTAAAAACCCCACTGAATTTTGTTCTAGGCAGAAACTTCATGATAGCAGAGTAAGCAGGACATTTTTGCAAGACTAAAGATAAAACTCATCCTTTAGCATCTGAGATGATGTATTATGACACATTGGTTCAAAACATCTATAATAAATAACCTGCTGCATCTAAGAATAGTATTCATAGATCAGCTCTGACAAGTGTACTGCCCTCCTGGTGCCTCTGTCTTGGGTGGGATTTGCACTCCAAGTACAGGCAAGATTTACCCTCTTGACTTTCCTTTGGATTGCAATAAATAGCTCATTATTAGCTACATTCATCCCTTTTGTCATTCTGTTTTGTTTTGACCATGTCTTGCCTTACATTTTTTAAGGTTTTCTCTCCATTGTCTCCTCCACCCCTGCCAACATCTACCCAGTGCAAACACACACCACGCATTGTCAGGCAATCCCATTGATGCCAGTTTCTGTCCTACCCTGTGTCGGTTTTATTCCCCTTTGTCCCTGCCTCCTCTCCATCCAATGCACGTGCACCAGCACGTTTGTGCTACAGGCTTTCCTCATGGACAGTAGATTCCTCCTCTATATTTACATGCCTTAGAGGACACTTTGGCAGTCCAGCTTTAAGGTGGTTTAAACTAGCTTTGCTGCACTGACTACGGAGATGCCAAATTAGAGGCAGGCAATCTGCTCTCCTGCCTTCCTACCGAGTCTCCATCTGTTCCCAGCTCTCCACTGGAGACTCTCTTCTCCCCAGCACCACTCTTTAAAAAGGCAGTCCCTGTTTTCTGCTCTGATTCACTGTGAACTATGTCAACTGTCCCAGCCAGCATTTGGTGAGCAATGTGTTGGGCAGGTCTTGTCCCTCACAAACTACCTCACACAGTCCCAGGTTTGCCAAAACAGACCCAAGGTCAAGCACAAGAATAACAGCCCTCACCTCTGTGTGCTTCTTGTAAAGGATGCTGCCAGTGCAGAGTCTGCTTTTGTTTCCTTTTTTAACAGTTAACACTGTTAACTTGAAAACAGAGTATTTTTCTAGTAATATTTATGAATTAGAACCAAATGCTCTGTGCTATCTTGTAAAAAACAAGTGACATGTAGTGATAACTCTTGTCCAGTTAGTGCAGCTGAATAATCTAATTCCACGCCCCTTGTGGGGAGCAATACTACTCTGGGGACTGGCTTCAGCAGGGTCCCCAAAGTGTCAGATTTCTTTCACATATGTGTTTTCAGCATTTGTGCTCAGACACTGGTCCATGTGAGTCACCAAGTCCTTGCTGTGCTGGACTGCCCAGCAGAACTCCTCAGGATCAGCCACACTTTGCTAAGGTAATGAGCCTTCTGGCAAGGCACTGAACAATATGCTAAGTGAACCTCTCAGCTTACCATACAGTAATTCAAGGCCTTAACTTTGCTTCTGCAGTCTGTAAACACATGTGAGAGTCACTCAGGATTCAGAACATGAGCGTACGAGATCCCTTTGAATTGGTGGCTTTACAGTTAAAGATTTAGGTTATTCTCACCTGTCTCACGCAGTTATACATAAATATGAATAATAAAACTGAAAGGAATCTGAATAAAGATTTTCACTGAAAGATTAATTTCAAAGAGTTAGCTAATCATACTGCATCTTACAGAAGTTTCTTAAACCTTCTTAAAAGCATCTGTATACTTTCACAAAGATTTCAGTGTCAAGAAGCTCTTTGCAATTTTTTGAACTATCCAAGTTATCTGCTTTGGTTTCTTTTCATCAACTGCTAGAATCAATTTAACATACAACAGGAAGCCTTAATCACATTTACTTCTGGAAAAAGATGTTTGTTTGTGACTAAGTTTTTACTGGATAGGATAAATTAATTTTAGGATCTGCTCAGAGCCCTAAGTACATCATGACATTTATTAATTTTTCTGTAGCAGCAATTCTGTAAGATGCTTTGCAAATGGGGCTAGTACAGTGTAATACAACAACCATCTTCCCTTCTCTGACCATCAGCAAAGATACAATCTTTATACCTAAAAGGACACTGCTTCCACCAGCTCAGGAAAGGAGGTTGCATCGTAGTAGGCTTTTAACCTTTGTATGGGAAAAGAGAATAGCTTAGGAAAACACAAAAGGGAAGTAATCACTACTGCTACTGTTTACCTAGGATATGATGATCAAGTTCTTTGGTCAGGCTGATTTTAAAACTGAGTGACCCATTTTGCCTTGTCACATAAAGCATGTGCACTTTTGAGACGAGCAGTAGGAACGTTGCTTACCTTGTTGAACTGGTGAATAGGCATTGGTCAGAAAACGAAAGTGCCCTTTATTATACCAGCAGATCAAGGACATGTTTCCCTTCATTCTTATTCTGTACTGTCCTCTGGACTGGGGAGTTTCAGGGTTGTTCAGCATGGATGGAGGTAGGCCTGTGCAGTCACTCTTCCTGGTGCTCAGCAACCCACAGCAGTAAATCTCTGCATGTGAACAAAAATACTCTCTATCAGCAAGCCATTGCATGGACCCTGAAAGGAAGAGCAGTGGAACGACTTTAATGACTTGAGAAATGACAAGAGAAAGAGCTTGTCCTACAACTTTGCAGTTCCACTGGCCTTCCTCTGTAATATCAAAGATTTGTGTCCTACAGTAATGACTCTGGAAACAGAAAAAAGTGCAGAAAGCCTGCTGTCTTGATAAAATGTATTGACACCTATTAAACATTTATGATGGAGAAAAATTCAGGGTACCTTCTCAACAATAACATCTATAACCTGTGTAATAGTCTTCACAACATGTTTGAAATTGGACTGAAAATAACCCCAACAATGATATGCATTATGAAACAAATCAGAATTTATGATCCAAGAGTCTCTGATGCATAAATAAAATAAAATGTGGAGAGAGCAGGGAGGTAGGGAAACATATAGCAGCTTAGATGTTAACTGAAATAAATTGTCCTGCATGACTCCCATAATGCTTTTGATCACAGCATACATAGCTGACAAAGTCCAGTTTAATCTATTGCTTTATTGTGCTGCCCAGTTGTTGATTTTCAGCTCACTACTCCTTGCACCTGCATCATCTGGTTTGCTAAGGAAATGCTGCTTTAGCAATGAAGAACCACTGAAACTGCTGGTTGATTTAAAAAGTGCATGTGCCAGAAGGATAGAGAAGGTGGAAATACAAGTTCAATGAAAAAGATTTTAGGGAAAGGAGATAAACCAAGGTGCCCTAGGTGAATGAGCACTGATCTTGACGAGTACAGCCATCAGAGGCTGCACAGGTGACACGTTCTGCTGCTCACAAAAGCTTCTTGGTCTTTTGTGAGGTGAGTATGTGAATCAAGCAATTAATGAAATCTAACACCACAAAACACACGTCAGTGCAACTAGGTAGGCACAAACAAGTTTTGGAAACAACATTAATAATGACAATGGTTGAATTTGTCATTAGGTGGTGAAATAATAGCAGCCTGTTTCTGTCAGCCCAAGAGAAACAGATCTTTTTGATCAAATTAACTGAACTCCAGGAAATCTTGGATGGGAATTTCCTCCGTTTCCCTAGGCTTTCTGCTAATCCACAAAAGTGGGCGGAAAACCCCAACAAACAAAGGCCATGGATAATGCTGACATCTGTGCACATCCTTCATATGGCAGCAGAGGCTTTTGGCAATTTAAAGCTCATCTGTCAGCTAAGTCTGCTTGATCAGATTTTTCATTGTGCTGAATTCTGCACACTGGACAATGGGATATACTTACAGGGGACATGCCAAGTCAGACTACCATGTCTGGTTTCCCCTGAGCATGTTGCCTCTGTTCTTGGGTTTCCATTTATGTGGCTTTTCTGCCTTTGTCTTTCTGGAATGACCTGAGTGCTTGAGTGACTTTGTACTCGGTTCATGTAGTGCCAGGCATGCCAAGCATCCCCTCAACAGCTCACAGATGCTACAGGAATACTAATATAAAAATTGCTAATATTCATCAATTGGTCCAGTTGCTGTGAGCAAATCTACACAGAGCTCCTCCATCAGAAATTTAACATGCTCATTTCAGAAGATCAACCAACACAACAATGGGGAATCTTCATTCTGAATGAGGAAATCTGTACTCCATCAGTTTTTTCTAATGAATGAATCAATCCCTCAAAATTTCTAAGTTCCTTCCACAAAAGACAATGAGAAAAGCCTGCAAACTTGCAAACTTTGGCATTAACATAGCAAACTTCTAGAAAGCTTTCTTCTAGTCAGTATTAAAATCTTCCCGCTCTGATAGTGGCAAGCATGAGAAGAATTTCCTTAGCTGCCTAAAATTTAGGACTCGCTGAACTCTCCAGGCAACTTCAAAGGTATAAAACCAAGCTAGTAAGTATATTATTCTGCTAGAGCTTCAAAACAGCAACACCCATCTCTGAGACCACATAATAATGGTAGCCTTTTCTTTAGCTCGAGCAATAAGCCTGCAGAAAGCTTCCAGCAGATGTTTCACTCCTCATGCAGAATAAAGGTTCCTCTCACTCCTGGAAACTTTTTCCAGTCTCAGGTACATACTATGTAACTTTCCTGCTGCGTAGCCTAGAAAAGTGCAGCACTTCTGCACATTTACTAGCATCTCTCACCATGGATAACGCCCTTAATCTGCTGAGTTTTTTAAAACCACTCAGTTACTATAGCAATAGAAGCAATAAAAATTATGCCCATCTGGCTCAATGAAGTTTTTGTGTGTAATTAAATCAGAATCACAACAGGTGTTTGCCACATACACAGGAAACATCTGAGACAGGCTGTCCTGGTCTGGTCTTTTAAAACTAACTGCAGTATAAACGCATACACCTAAACTAGCTTAGCAAAGATGAGGAAATGTGGTGTAGTCACCCAAGATTCACGCTGGGGTCTCCAGACCCTGGAGAGCTTGTGCTGAAGCCTGTTTCACCACATCTTCATTAGTACCATATGCAAAGTTTGCCTGAACAAGTTCAGGCAAAAACACAAATTCTGCACTCATCCTGCATGCAATGCTGGGTCATGTCAGAGCTAGGGCAACTGGGGGGGCCTATGTGGGAAGCAGGCGAGAGCTTGCTTTAGTCAGTACGGTGGAGTTGCAGCATCCTGCAAAGCTTGTGGGAGTGCCATGGTCAACCAGGCTGGCAGCTCCTGCAGCTTTGCCAACCCCAGCCACTTTGCAGGACAGAGCCAGCTGCTTCTGCTGGTTCAGAAAGCGCAAAAGGGACTTCAGGGAACCCTACGTTTAAGAGAAGCATGGGACACAGGGCTTTAGAAGGGGCTGTTCTCTGTAATGGACAACACTAATGCTTAGAAATAATGAAAACAGAATCTGAACTATGAATGAATGTCACAGCAAGTAACAATGACAGCTGACTGCTCACAGAGCAGAGAATTCGGGGCATTTCAGTGCAGGTTTCCAGTTCTATTAAGAGGCCAGAGAAAGAAATGCTTTGTATGTCCCCTGAAAAAAAGAGGTCTATTCAGGCTTTTTATTTTGAAAAAGATCAAAAAGCCCTGTCTTATTTTCTGAAGTTTTCTCAGCTCTTGGTATCTTCATAGGTCTTAGAATTATGTTCACCAACATCGCCTTACACTACTAGGTGCATATTCTCTACTGTGGTACAGTGAAGGTGCTACACAGCAGACTTTCAAATGAAGAGCTGTGGATTTTGCAGTAACGCATGTGTGGGTTAGGGTTAAGAAAAGCAAACGACAGTTAAGGTTCCAAAAAGGTCTTCATTGAATCACAGGATCCTATGGATTAAAGGGTATTTCAGGTTAGAAGGGAACGTAGGAGGTCTCTAGTCCCATCCCCTGCTCAGAGTAGGGTCAGCTCTGAGGTCAGATGGCACTGCTCAGGGCTTTATCTTGTCTGGGCTTAAAACCACCCAAGGACAGAGACTGCACAACCACTCTGGGAATCCTGCTGCACTGCCCACAGGACAAACTTTACATCTAGTCTGAACTGCTTTTTTCTTTGTTTCAGTTTGTCTGTTGTTTTTTGTCCTTCTATGATGCACCACCGCAAAAAGCTCCATTCAGAGAGTCATAGAATAGTTTGGGTTGGAAGAGTCCTTAATCATCTAGTTACAAGCCCCCTGTCATGGTCAGGGACACCTTCCACTAGACTATGTTGCGCAAAGCCCCGTCCAAACTGGCCTTGAACATTTCCCACTTCCAGGGATGGGGCAGCCACAGCGTCTCTGGGCAACCCGTGCCAGTGTCTCACCACCCTCACAGTAAAGTTCTTCCTAATATCTCATCTAAATCTACACTCTTCCAGTTTAAAGCCATTCTCCCTTTCCCCCTTACTACATGCCCTTGTAAAAAGTACCTCTCCAGCTCTCTTGTAGGCCCCCTTTAGGTACTGCAAGGCTGCTATAACTCTCGGTAACCTCCCTAGGGTAGCATAAGGCTGCTGTTGGGTCCTCTTGAAGCCTACTCTTCTCAGGCTGAACAAGCACATTTCCCTCCCCACAGCAGAGCATGTGGTACTGCCTCTGGTCAGGCTGGTGGTTCTCCACTGAACTTACTTCAGTTTATCAATTACTTTCTTGTACTGGGGGACATGTTGTCCAGAAGCGTGCTGGGTAGGAGGCAATTATCACCTCCTCTATGTAGCCTCTACAGGCTACAGACCTGTTAACGCAGCCCAGGAGGGTGTTGACCATCTTTGTCGCCAGGGCTGCTCATGTTCAACTCGGTGGCTACCAAGACCCCAGGTCCTTTTCATCAAGAATTTTGAGACAAACTAATACATTTTTAGAGGGTGCTTCTTTCTGTATTTTCCAGAATTCCCTTTAGTTCCCTTAAATGTCAGCTTAAGTTCCCCTAAAGTTTGTTATTAGCTTATTTAAATTATTAACTATATTATTGGCTTATTTGCATCTCTCCCTATTTCCCCCCAAAAAACCCAAACAACGTAAAGTAGTTAAGATCAATACCAGTTTATTTTTGTTTTCAGTTCTCAATGGGATCATTCTACTGCTGACCATGCTCTAGCCCAAAACCCAAATTTTCTTAAACAATAAAAGCAAATTTATCAGTTTAAGAATGTGTCTTGAACTGTCATGAGCACCTGAGCATAGATGCTTTTCAATAGGCTCTCATGACACTTCTTGGTCATGATGTGTCCCTGTTCAGATTTTGCTGGCTAAGCCACATACCAGAAAAAAAAGCATTAAGGTCACTGCTGAGGGTGGCTGTGTGATATATTAGGAGAGATCTCTGTTGAGTCCAGGCTTCTCCGCCTGCCTCTACCCAAACCTACTGCCAGTGCAGTAGTATCCCAGCAGGTACTGGGATACTACTGCAGCCGAGTCAGTAAACACTCATCTCTTCCAGGGCTTTTTCTGACTTCACTGCTTGACATCTCTAGCACCTTACCTCTGCCAGTGCCTCCTGGTCCTTACAGTTCAACATCACCCTGTGAAACCTCCAAGCTAGCCCCTAGTAACTCATGGCAGACACAGATAATTCCATGGCCTTCTTAAACAAAGACTTCCATGTTCTCCCCATGATTTTCTTTATATAGCAGTGCCACAATATTTTGGAAAACCAATAGACTTTCTATCTTAGTGTCCACCCACCCCACACTGTCACCCCTAGGAAGGTGAGTGTACCAGATCTGAAATTGAATTTTGGAAGCAGCTGTTAAATATCATAAAAAGTCTTATGAACTCATATAACAAATCCTGAACTAAACTAAAATCTCAGTATAGCATTAGCATATTTAATCAGATAGAAAGACAAATATAGATGCTTTAGAAAGATATTACTGAATTTGCTACCTGCTAGATTAGACCTCACATTTGTGAGGCAAGGAACAAGAGTTGCCTTTAAAATAATCTTATTTAAAATTCTCATTTTGAACTTCATGAAAATTTAAAGAAGATTTGAAGAGCAACTTGGAAAGTCCTCTGTATAGTGTCTTTTCATGAATGACAACTTTTTTTAGAGATGACCAGCTTATCTATACAAGGGATTGAAATATCAGTGAAGCCTTTTGGGAGTTTTTGTAAACCCAGTGGCAGGAGGCCCCTAGGTCTGTCATCATTTAAACCCAGTGAGTCACCTGATACATACCTTGCTTCTCAAATTCTTCAAAGAGATTCAGGCTGGTAATGCTTGGGCCTGTGAAGATGATGTAGTTCTTCCCAGAGGCATTCTGACAAAGGTTTTTGGCCACCATACTGTGAAGCTGTGGTTTGTTCTTCAAAGCATCCAGCCCGTCAGCACCACTCCCTTCTTTGAGATGGACATAAATCTTAAAATGAGAAATGGGAAGAGAAGTCAGAAGGTTATAAGGAATCCAGAGGGAGAGGATGCAATTGCTAACATACCTGCTCAGCTCAACTGGAGACAAGCTGAGAATCAAGGCAGCAGATACTTTTTATATACTGCTAATTAATCGAAAGTCCCTTTCAAGGGGCTGCTGCTTTAAAACCATTTCAGGTTAGCTGGCACAGCTACCGATAAATACAGTGTCCTTCTCCTCAGCTTAAAGGCTTTTTGATGCTCTTGTCATTGTTGTGCAGTTTGAAGAGTGTTTGCTTAGCAAGAAAAGACTCCAGCCGTAACTGAAATTATATGTTGTACGGAATCTGCATAGACTTCAATGCTGCCAGCAAAAAGAGAGCATGGGAACTTCAGTTTCAAGAAAAGCCACTAAAGTTGACCAGAAGAAATGGCCCATTAGCTTCACTGCAGTAATGTTCAGATCTATTTCTGTTGGCAGGAACCATTAGGCTGCGACAAAAGTGTGTATGCGACCCCATAAAAGAGAGGAACCAGCAATACACATACCCAACCAGCCAGAACATCCTCATCAAACTCTCCAGGCACAATGCTGATTCTCGGATCATGATTTGAAGACAACCCACAGAAACACACTGAACCAGGAAGCAGGGTACAGAGCAATGTGCTGCTGTTAATAGGAAAATGCATCACATTGCAGGAGCTTTACTTTGTATCCTGCTATAGTGCAGACCACATCACAGTGCATTTCCTGAGAGCTGTCACCATCACCTATAGGTGGACATACATGTTTGGCTTAGAGTGCAAGAACATTTATCCCTTAGTAACATGACTATAATTAACAGAACACAATCCACCAACTGAAACAGCATTTGAAGTAAAGCTATTGAATCATTCTTATGAGTGATCCCTCTAGAAGAGGAGTCTTCTGCACTATGCAGAGGCAGAAAACACATAACCCTTCCTTTGTACACAAGCCTTTGATTTGATTTCAGTGACAGTATTTTAAAAGCCTAACTTCCACCAATGTTGAACACTTATTAAAATCAACTAGGCATCTGACCTTCAACTTGTTCTGAAAGTCAGCAGAAATAGCCTGCTGGAAAGAGAAACAAGAAGCAGCAGACAGTGTGCTGTCACTCAAACAGTGCTGTAACCATGGAACTTGCAAAGATTAAAAAACATACACAAATGCAAATTTTCTGGAAAATTTGCCCAGGCCTCCCTTTGTGATTTTGACTCTGAAATACCCAAATCTTTCAGGAATTTCAGAAAATTTCACCATCAGAGAAAGAGCTGAAATTTGCTCAGTATTTAGGGGCAGCAAAAAGGAATTTTGCCCTGTTTGTTAGAGTGATATATCCATGACAAGCTTTTGTTGAACTTGCTTGAGCCCTCAACCATCCGGAACACGCAGCACTGCTTTCTTCTACATGCATCTGTTTCTCTTACCAACACACTCCTTCCTACAGAAAAGTTTATTACAAATGCTCAGAGAACAAAAACGTTCATACATTTGCAGTAGTGCTCCCAATGATATAACTCAATGATCTTGGAGAGGAACAAAATTCAATTGAACAGCTTCTCCCTTTTTCACATGATGTATCCCCAGCACTGGTATTCTAGACATATTAATGCAATGCTCTCTAGCGATTCACGCCTCATGGAACAGACCCCAGAGGAGTGTTTCATGTATAAAAACTCTGAGGAATGAGACACAATTTGCATTTTGAAGTAACTGACATGATAAAGAACAAAGTTGGTGTGCAAGGACGAACACACACTAATTCCAAAAAGAAGTACAGCATAAATTAAAAGAAAGTATTAAATATAAAAAAATTAAATATAAAAAAAAAGCAAAACCAAAAAACCAAACCCAACCCTTTTTTTGGTAGAAACAATTTCCAGACGAAGACAAAGGCAGGAATGTTTGCAGACACCAGATCATGCTCCATTCACTTCAGAAAGCTGTCAGATTTGTGCTTTCCCCAGCACTAAGGTTGAGAGCTAGCTAATTATGATAGTCATTTAGGTTATTAATCAGAACTCCAGAGATGTATTTCATGATTACTGGCATCAAAATTTAGATTAGGTTACTGGTATTCCAGTACAGAGACAACATCAAACCTTTAAAATCTACAGACAAGGCAGAAGATGCAGACAGATGAGTTTCAACCTTGGACAGCAGCTAGGCTAAAAACAAAGTAGGAATCTCTAAGTCTATAAAAAAGTGTCCTACATCTTCCCTCCCTTATTGCAGTAAGTCTTGGCCAACTGACAGTCTCTCCTGCTTCATGCTTACTTCATGCTCCCCTTGGAGCGCTGGTAGCTCCACTAGATGAGACAGTCTGCTGGCACTGCTGGTCTGCCAACTGGCTCCACACTGTGGGCTGGTTTGAGTCTGCAAGCAGCTAGTTTAAAGAGCATGCCTACCATGCAACTGTCCACTGAGGTACCACTGTTTTCATATTAGTATGCTACATACTCCACAGGTTTTGTTCGCAGAGTTCCCTGTGCACCTGGCACCCTTCCTTTGCGCTCCTCTCTATTTCAAGGGCCCTTTGCAATGGTCGCCTTGTGATTCACATTTCCCTTTGCTTTGTTCACCTCCCCAGTGCCCTTCACTCAAACATCCATACCCACTGCTGAACCTCCCTTCCTCCTCTAATGTTAAATATATCTCACTTTCTTCTCCTTGGCCATTTCCTTGCCTATCCAAGCACTGCCTTTGTTCTTCACACAATTTTTCTTGTTTTGCAGAAGCATCATTCAAAGCTTTATCATGATCAGCTCTATTGGGAAGATGGGTGACAGCAGCATAATGCTGGAAGGCATAAAGACTGCTGTGAAACACTGGCTGGGTACAGAGAACTGGCAAGGGCATAGCTTCAAATGCTCTTGCAAGTGCCTAGGATCCCATATGGTCTTCATCTTCCCTCTCCCCATCCTCTTATCCAGCTTATTTCGTTCTACCTTAAATGAATAGGATCCTGCCTACTGAAGCCCACAGCACTCCCCACCCACTCTGCAATGCATTAGAAGTGGTATTTAACAGTTAGCAATCTGCAGAAAAAGCACAGAACTGCCAGAAACTGGCTGCAAGACCTTCACAGGCACAGTCAGAAGCTGCTCCCCGAAATTGTTTGTTAAACCATTCACCAGAGCTTCTGGTTTGCCCTGTGACAGAGTTAGAGCTTTGTGCCCTTTCCATGTGCTCCAACAGCAAAACCACGCCAGGAGTACAGGCTTGACAACTGCTGCTGGACAACAGAGGGAGATGTTGGCAGCAACATCCTCTGCTTCTGTGGGTGACAGTCAAAGCAATGCTTCTCGAGCATCAGCAGAGATCATTTTTATCGTGCGTCCTTTTCTAGTGGCGACTGGTTCATTTGATCTACAGCACCAAATGGGTAACTTCTACAGATGTGACCTCATCTGTCTTCGGAGGCAGCCACAGGCTGAAGCTCTTTATCCTGCACTACTGGTACACAAAGGGAGTTTTTTCTAGTCATCCCTCAATTATTTGTTTCTTACCAGAACAGCTACACACTGAATTCTGCAATTCCCTTTTACAGCAGCCCCACTGCACCAGATACTTTCAATACAATATGTTTTCATCCTGGTGCAGCTCTCTCTTCTCACATCATTTAAGTTGTGCTCAAACCCTCTTCTCTTCTGCCTTCAGTCTCCATTGCAGCATCCCAACAGTCTCTTCCCTTTAAAAGCCTGACAGTAAAAGACCTTCACAGTCCCTGGTTCATCTCTCCTTCCACCTACAGCTGCTTCTGCCCCCTCCTATCATAAAATCAAAAGTAGGTTTGAATCAATATACTCGAATGGCCAAGTGACAGAATATGGGTGAAGATTGTACTGAGTGATTCCAAACCAAGGAAAAGAGGGCAAACTCTTCTGGAAGGAGGCAGTCAGAAAAGAGATCACATTTCTGAGTAGTGTATTTCACATGTTGACAGATCAGAGGTAAATCAATCACTCACCACTCAGAATCTCAAACCACGTATGTCTGGCTACAGAGGCAGACTGCTGGAGAGAGTGCTACCAGAGAAAGGAAGGTCTCAGAGTAGACACCCATGCTACAACCCAGCAGGAACTTCCTTGCTCTGTGCCGCAATTTAGTCTATGGAAAATTTATGTGGAAGGTTCAGAAGGTCTTGTGAGAAACTGAGTAAAAAACTGAGCAAAAAACTGAGCACTTAGGAACAAAAGCTGCATCTTGACTGCACATTTAAGAGTGACCTAGGAGCTAAAATATTGGCATTTCTGCTCATATTCAAAGCTCAGATGGCAAATTGAAAGCATTTGTGAATAGAACATCCCAAATACTCTACATTCATACATAATTGAAGCACCCCAGGGTACAATTCTCAGATGAAACAGATGACATTTGGAGGAAAAAAAAGGGCGGGAGTAGTAATAAACAGGAGGAAGATTCTTGAAAGCTACATTGTCCAAAATATCTCACGAAGGGCAGACTCTAGACAACCACATAACAGAAACCAAGCTTTTCGGTGACACAATTAGAAAAGCAAGAGAACAAAGAAATACTGCCGTACTTTTTGGATCCTAAATAGCTGTAAAAAAAAAAAAAGCTTCCTTTTTCTATAGACTTCACAGCCAAATACTCAACTGCTCTTTGCTAACAGTGCTCTCTAGATCCTGCATCACTCTTGTCTTCCCCTCTCATCCTAAACATCATCTTTAATTGTTGCCATTGCCAACACTGTTAGGAGATCCTCCTCTCCCCAGTCTCACCCCAAACCTGCTGCAGCTTATATTCCCACCTTCTTTAATGCCCTCTTCCCAAGTCAGCTCTTAGTTCTACCTCTTCCTCAGCAGCTGCTGGCACCATTGATGGTGCTCTTGCTGAGACCAGATCTTCCCATTTGTTTGAGCCTCTCTTCATTCTCTTCCTACTGAAGGCTACTGTGAAAATAGCATACAAAGAACAGGCAGCTTTCCCCATCTGTTCCCAGCTAGCTCCTGGGGTTCCCT